GGAGAACAGGAAACGCTGCTCTCTGCTGTACAGGCCTTGCAATGCATCCGGGACGTAGAGAAACACATGCACCTCAAAGCTGCGGTGCATCTGATAGTGTTAGTTAGGAAGGTAAACCGAAAAGAAACTTTTGTGTAAAAGCCATTTTATTCTTTGAAAAATAATTGCGGATTAGGCATGGCAGTTCCTGTGTCCTGGCATGGGTAAACAACTATTTTGAAGGTGGGCCCCGGGCTCCAGGTCTATTAAGTCTAGCACTCGGGAGGCTGAGGCAGGCTTGTGAGTTTGAGGCCCTTCTGGCTACACAGTGAGACCCTGTCTGAAAACACTACCACCTGTAACTAATAACGATAACACCCCGGACTCTGACAGCACCTTCCAAGCACAGAAGGCAGGCAGTATGCCACACTTGACGATCTCATGGACCCCTCCAGTGGGTATTGTTTGAAATAGCTCCATCCCACAGATAAGGAAACCGAGCAGCAGAAAGCCCCATTTACGGGATGCAACAAGCCACAATCTTACTGAGGTCCTCTGACATCTCTTCACGTTTATTCTCTCCCTGTGTGACCGCCCTGTAGGCCTCTGGTCCTTCGACCTCACTGTGACTCAGCTTCTCCAGGAGAACATTCTGGAAGCGGAGCGAGGGGCTGTGAACCGCATGCAGAGCTCTCTGAACTACCTCATGGACCTCATTCACTTCGTCCTGGTCATGCTGGCCCCGAGGCCGCAGCAGTTTGGCATGTTGGTTTTTCTCTCCATGCTCTTTGTGACCACTGGGCACGTGCTCTATTTCTTTTATGCAAGAAGGAGTAAGACTAAGAAGGCCCACGTGATCAAGACATCCGGGAAGGGCTGGTGGACGCCCCCGACGTGAGTGGTAGGTGGCCCTCCTTAGCGGTCTGGGCAGCCGTGGGCGCATCTTCCCACCGAGTGAGTGTTCCAGCTGTTTTGTGTACCTCTTGCGTCTTGGTTCCAGCTGAGAGCAAACGTGTCACTTCCTGCCGACAGCATCCCCTTCTTCTGGCTCCTTTCCTGGTACTATCCTGAGGGTCAAGGGGGACAACCGGAAGGGCGCCCACTTAGCGGAATTCAGGAAGCTCTTCCTCTCAGCTCCTTCACGGGACTGGTTTTAGTTCCGCCAATACAAGAAAAAAATCCAGTGCCAGGGCTGGGGGTGTAGCTCCGTTAGCCGGGTGCTTGCCTAGCATTACATGGAACCCTGGGTTCAATCCCCAGCACCACTTAAAAGTTGGTGTGGCTGAGTGTGGGGGCACATGCCTTGATTGAGGGAGGCAGAGGCAGGCGGATCTCTGTGAGTTCCACAACAGTCAGAGGTATGTAGAGTGACCCTGTCTCAATAAAAATTAAATAAAGATTGAGTGTGGTGGCACATGCCTGCAATCCCAGTTCTTGGGAAGTAGAGGCAGGAGGACCAGAAATTCAAGGTCATCCTCAGCCACACATGAGCTCGGAGTCATATGAGGCTACTCGAGTCCTGCTTTAGTGGGGGTAGGGGGGTAAGGGGAGTAGGAGGTAGGGTGGGGGGTGGCTCGAGGTTTTCATATTTTATTATTCTTTGAAAGCTAAAATCAATCAGAATATTCTGTCCCACGTTCTAGCCAGACAAGGCACAGTCAGTGATGTTTGGCCTTGGCTGTTTGGTTAAGAGTTTTCTGTTCCTGTTGGCTGGTGTGTCCTCTGTGGGGCGTTTACCCACCAACCCCACAGATTCCCAGAGTTTTCTTGAGTGCAAGCAGCAGGAAATATTAGATAGAAGGATTTATTGCAGAGAATCTTGCGGAGATAAACAGATAGAAAATAAAGGATAGCCTCGAGAGGGCCTGGAACCTATTCCAATGGCCCCCGACTGTCTCTGCCCCAGGGTTTTTATAGAGACGCCAAGGGGTGGAGCAAAAGACCTCCTCCCCCAGCACAGCCAAGTGCAGACCATCTCAGACACCTGCACTCAGGCCCGTGGTCCTAATCATCCTCTCTATGAGGACCTGCTGGGTAAAGCCACGAGGAACCCAAGAACGGGCTCCCACAGTCCTCTGGTTAAGTGGCCTCATGAAGTGACGCTATTTGCTGAAGACAAACCAATCTTCACCTGGCTTGTAGACCTTGGGCCAAGCGAGAGAGGTTGTGGTCTTGTTAGGGTCCAAGAATCTGAAATCACCCAAGCAGGCACCACAGTCCACACAAAGCAAGATTTTTATTGAATTAGGCAGCAGGAAAATGAGGGAAAAGGAAAGACACTGAATGGTCAGGGGCAATAATAGCACAGACCAGGGATCTAACACATCCCCAAACATTCATTTCAGCAAGTTTTTAAGCACAAAACCCACAACCTTCTATGCCAAGTTATAGTTACAATTTTCCACCAAACAAAATTCAGGGATTAAGGACTTTCCTTACGTGGTTGATCTATGTCAAATGTACAACCAATCAAATTCATTTGTTCTTTGTGATTAGAAACAGCTATTATTTGTGGGGAATGGCAGGAAAACAACATTTTGCAGGCTGTTTTTATTGTTTAATGAGGAAGCTGATCAGCTACTAGAAAGTCCCCAGCTCCCCCAGGGCCTGGGAACTTGAACTTGAACTTCACCTTGTGATGAAAATGGAGCCTGAAGCAAAATGGCAGTACTTAGGCTACGTTTCTTTTGTCTGTTCTCAACATCTCCGCCTTGTCTTGTGGCTAATGAGATGAATTCCTCATCTTGGGTCTCAAACAAGGGGTTGTTGTAATGGGTTCTTAAAATCGTGAGCTTGACAGTTCCTGTGAGGTCCTGAACTAAGTGTGCAGAGGCAGATGTAACTCAGGGGCAAACAGCAGAACAAGGAGGAGGATCAGGGGACCTGTTAGACTGTGACGAGGGTTGTCAACCAGGGGGACCAGTTGAAAAGGGATTCAGACCCAGTTCTTTGTTTTCCTCCCTCCTCCCTAGTGCAGAGATCTTCTTTAACTTTCGTTAGAGCCTCTCTAATGATACCTGAATGGTTGGCATAAAAGCAATGTGTCTCTCTCCCCAAGCCACCCATAAACCTCCCTCCTCAAAGAACAGTGGGTCCAGCCCCTGGCGGTCCTGCAGGACCACCTCAGCCAGGGAGTCAACTTGATTCTTCAGGAATGGAGGTGACATCTCCGTCAGTTTATTCACTCAGGATCTGTAGGTTGCGGTCCCCGGTGACTAAGACTGCCGTCCCAATGGCCGTTGACCCTGCGAGGGGGACAAGAATGGGAGGTGCTCTCTGGTGTGCAGCAAGCCTATGGTTCCCATGTGCGTCCTTCCCACTTCCCCCTCATAAAACAGGAAGGACCTGAGGCACAATATGAAGGAACACACAAAGCTTGGGTTTTTTTTTTTTCTTTTCCATGAAATGCCCTAGAGAGAGGCAGGGTGTTAAGCCAAAGGTCCAAGAAAACCAAGTTGGTGTAGGAGCAGCCCAAAGGGTGATTTCATTTAGAGCGGCCCACTTGGTGCTAGGGAGAACATAGGTGTCGGAGTTGTTGCCAACCGACGGGTAGGGTGATGTTGCTGGAGGGTAGTTGGAAGAGTGAAAACAGGTTCCTTTTCCCCGGAGGTCCCCAGAGTCAGGGTGGAGGTCCAAGGACAAAAAGTTTGTGAGGATGCAAGAGAGACTGCTTATATGGTGGATGGGGATGGGGGTGGTCAGAACTTTCCTTGAGGGCGATCCTGATGTAGTAGGGAGGTGTGGGGTCTAGACAAAGCCAGCAATCACCTGTGAGGTTAGGACGAGTGGCGTTCAAATAGGCATCAGTAACACTGACTATCCCAAATAAGGGCGGACCTGCAATTGAGAGGATCTGAAGGCAGAAAGGGGGTGTTCTTTGGCCTCCCCAGTTGGGGCTGACAGTGGTTGAGACCCGATCTGCCTGTTTTTTTTTTTTTTTTTTTTTTTTTTTTTTTTTTTTTTTTTTTTTTTTTTTTTGTGGGGAGAGATGGTGGTTGATCCTTTATTTTGACCAGAGGTCCCAGGAGTCTAGGAGGACTAAGCAAAGATAGTTTCTGGATAGTGAACTCCATCCCTGTGTCTTTGCCTATCTGGTATACCCTGAGTCCCCTGGTTAGCTCTGTATCCCATCTAAAAGGGAGAAGCAAGACCTGTTGTTTAAGGTTTAGGCAATGGATTTAAGGATTGCATATCCTGAGGATGGCACAAGAAGATTTTTTTTTTCCACCTGGCTATCTTGTATTCATCCTATTATTTCCTCATCCTAGGGCCCAGGTCTCACACCCCCAGTGGTCACAATGGAATTAGCCTTCAGTGCTACAGGTGGACCCCTTTTCTGCTGGACAGACATAATACTGTTTGTCCCAGCACTTTTTTCTTGCTTCTGTCCAATGGGCCTGCTACTCTCTCTGTTCTTGCGGGGGACATAGAGGATGACCCCTCCAGTAGGCCATAGGGTACAAAGGTCTAACTTAAATTTAGGGCCTGAGATGTATGTCTCCTGATGCATCTCTGAAATGATCTGTCCTGTTCAAGTATTTGACAGCCTCCAGATAAATATAGCTTGGGCTGATAGAGCCCTGGGTATTGCTCCCCTCCCAAATTGGATAGCAAAAGAGTTATTAAGAGGGCTGGGAGCTAAGTCTTAGCTTTAGAGGGTAGGGTCCTCGGGATCTCAGAAGACTTTTCCTGGTCAATTGTTGACCTCTCAGGCTCTTGATTGGAGGTGGATTTGACCTGGGAATGATGAATTCAGGGCTTGACACCATTGACCTTGACTGCAGTTGGGGTAGTCAGAATCACAATGTGAAGACCTTTCCAGTGAGGACCCAGAGGTTTTTTTTTTTTTATGATGTTTCACCCAGACTCCATGTCCTGGTTGGTAGTCATGTGGTTTGACAGGTGACAGGTCATACAGATGGCAGAGCAATGAGTAATCTGTCCTGAGTTCTTTGTAGTGCCTGTACTGACTAGAGTTAGGCAAAATTAGATATTTCAGCAATTAGATCAGACCAGAGTTTTGGGCAAATTGGAGGGAGCCTTCCAAATATTATCTCATAGACCCTCCCCTCCGTATAAGGGGTGTTTCTAGCCCAGAGTCGGGGGGGGGGGGCAAAGGGAAGTAGTGCCATCTAGTCCTTGCCAGTCTCTGAGGATAATTTACTTAAAGGCTCTTTTTTGGGTCCAATTCATCCTTTCTATCTATCCTGAACTTTGGGGGTGATAAACACCACAAAGTTTCCAATTTACCCCCCAGGGCCTCAGTGACCCCTTGGACCACCTGAGATATAAAGGCAGGTCCATTGTCTGATCCTATGGCAGTTGGAACTCTGAATCTAGGAATAATTTCTTCAAGCAATTTCTTGACAACAACCTGAGCTGTTTCTCTTTTAATTGGGAAAGCCTCAGTCCATCCATAATGGTATCCACAAACACAAGTAAGTATTTGTACCCATAACATCCTGACCTTACCTCAGTGAAGTCAACCTCCCCAAAACCTCCAGGTGCCATACCTCTTTCCCTTTTTCCTTATTTCCAATCAGTCTGAGGTGCAGAATTTACAGCCAGGCAGGATACTTGGAAACAGTATCTTGGAGGATTGAGTTTAGGGAAGGAATAAGGTATTGCCTGCTTAAAGGAGAGGCTCGCTTAGTCTTACCCAGGTGTGTACTTTCATGAAGTTGTTTAGCTAAAGTTTTTCCGAGGACTTGGGGAAGAATGATTCTGTCATCTGACATATCCCTCCATCCTTTCTTGTGGGAGGTATTGGGAAGTTTTTGGAAAAAGTCATCGTCTTCAGCAGAGTATGTGGGGAACTCTGGTGGCTCTGGTGCTGAGAGGGCCACCAGTGCCATGCCTGGCAGACAACAGGTCACTTCTTTGGCTGTCTCTGGTCAGCCTTCTGGTTGCCTTCTGCCTCTTGCGAGTTTCCCTTCTGATATCCAAAACACTGAATCATGGAGGCCTGCTTGGCGTCCCATAGGGCTGACAGCAAGTCCAAACTCTCTGTTTTTAATGGTCTTACTCTCTGCTGTTGGGAGTCCCCTTTCCTTGTAAACAGCCCCATGCACGTGTATGGTTGCAAAGACATATTGGCTGTCAGTGTAAATGTTAACAGTCATTCCTTTCCCTAATCTGAGAGCCTGGGCCAGAGATATCAGTTCTGCTCTCGGAGTGGACATCCCAGCACCATGCCTGCCTGCACACTGCTGTGTCCGGCCATGATGATAATGGACTGAACCTCTGCACTTTAAGCCACCCAAATTAACTGTTTTCCTTTATAAGAGTTGCCAGGGTCATGATGTCTATTCACAGCAATATAAACCCAAAGTAAGACAGCTGGTTTAGCAAGAGAGCTTGGT